GCTAGGAGACAGAGATCCTTCAACAGACCTTTGGAATCTTTCATTTAAATCACAGTGGCAGTGTGAGGTCATGGTCTAAAACCACCATGCAGTGACTCAAGTCTTCTGGAGGGATAATTTTTGTCAAAAACTGCTCTGCTGAGTTTACTTTTGGTTAAGTCTGCTGGCTTTGCCCATGGGATATATGAAACTCTTGAAGTAGCCTTACAACCCCAGCAAACTCTCAGAATACAATTAGTAAATAAAGTCCATTGTGCTTTAAGGGAAAACCACTACCTTTCCTATTTACCCTTCACACTGAAATAGTAAATGATACTGTGGGAACACTGAAGCATATCCAGAATCAACAAAAGGCAGGATTGCCTCTTTCGAGCCTCCTCTGCCCTCTGAGATTAGAATTTGGGGAGGATGCATTCAGAAATGATTTTTTTCCAGTAATGACAACATTCAGTACCACATAAGAAATGAAATTGAAGCATTGATCTTATTCTTCAAATATAGGATAGCTTCAATATTAAAATTAACATACAAATTTAGCATCCATCTTATTTTCGACTCACTTCTGCTGAGTAAATGCACATATAAAGAATGAATCACTGAAACAGTATGCAGTGAAATAAAGTTCATTTTTCAAATGTGTCAGTTCAAATGCAGTCAAAGCCTGTTTTCTGGGCACCCAACAAATGTTGCCAAGATGCTCCTTCTCCCAGCACCTCCCACCCGCTCTATCCTTAGGGCAAGCTAGGGGCCTTGGGAGATGAGTCCTGAAACAGCAAGTCTGGTAATACAAGACTGCTACACCTCTCACCTCCTTCTCTAGTCCTGTTTCTTTGTATACATTTGAAATGTTTTTACTCCTGTGAGCCTGTTGACCCACTTAACAGCCTGGACCAGTGGTCCAGAATCACTGCCCCTTTTCCCTGGTACCTGTTGCCTCCCCAGGTTGCCCTACCATTAATTTCAACCACATCCATGCACCTAACAAATGTCTTGTTTCTCAATTCATCTATAAAACTACTTTCTCCCACCCCTATCATCAGGAGTGTTGCTTTTTCTTTTTTCTTTTCTTTTTTTGAGATGGAGCTTCACTCTTGTCACCCAGGCTAAAGTGCAATAGCACAATCTCGGCTCACTGCAACCTCTGCTTCCTGGGTTCAGGTGATTCTTCTGCCTCAGCCTCCCAAGTAGCTGGGATAACAGGCACCCGCTACAATGCCTGGCGAATTTTTTGTATTTTTAGTAAAGAAGAGGTTCCACCATGTTGGCCAGAGTGGTGTTGAACTCCTGACCTCAGGTGATCCACCCACCTCGGCCTCCCAAAGTGTTAGGATTACAGGCGTGAGCCACCACGCCCAGCTGAATGTAGCTATTTCTTAAAGCTCAACTCTCGAGGGCAAAACCTATTCCCAGATGTCACTGGTAAGCTGGAAATCATGGGACAACCGGAAGGATCAGCAGTGCCAAAAATTCTGGCTCTCCCCTTGGGAAAAAGAATAGCACATTTAAGTTCTTCTCAGTCCTTCACCAACCAGATTTCCTAAAACAAGCAAGTCTCATCCCAAATGTATGCTCAACCTAATAATTGACATTGACGCCAACATTGTTTAAACTAGATCTAGGGTATGTATTAAGACTGTTTTCATATTGATGTTTACCCTTGCTCTAGAAAAGTAGGTGGGAATGAGAGAGAGAGGACTTAACATCTCAGCATAAAAGTTTATAGCCTTCAGCCCTTTTACATGGCGTAGATCTAAAAAGAAAACCCAAGGATGTGATGAAGAGGGAGGTCATTATCATGTCTTAGTGAGTGTACAAATTACCTAGAGAGGATAAAAATGTACTGCTTAGGCTACCAGGGATTCTGACTCAACAAGTCAGGCCCAGGAATCTATACCAGAAATTAAGCATCTGGGCACGTGGACCACACACTTTGACATGAATGCTCTAGAACGTGACTAACCCACTCACACTTAGCATCTTAGACAAACAAAGCATTGACACCAACACTAGGAGCAGGCAGACCCTCACCAGAAGAGAGGTGAGGCACTGTGTTTCATGTGGATTAACTTTCTCTAAGACTAGATTGACATACAAGTCAAACATCAGTTGATGAAAACAAAGTGTACAGCCCAACCCAGCCCCCAGATGTGTTGCCTGTGTGACAGAGGGTTGTTTTTTTCTCTTCATCCAGATGTTCAGTTTTGTGTAAAAGAATAACAGATGAGTGTTCATTTCCCTTGAATTCTACATGCTGTGTAGCAGGATGGTCTCTGAGAGCTGAGTTAGAATCTAGCCTCTTTAACCAGAGAGGGCTCAGAAATGGAGACTCAGAGGGAGTAAAACTGAATGCTGAGAGAACGTAGGATCTTAACGCCCAATTTCTCACTTCTGATGCCTGACCACACTTACCCCACTGAAGCAAACATTTCTTTCTTCAGATTTTTTTGTTCTGAGATGGAATCTCACTCTGTTGCCCAGACTGGAGTTAAATGGCACAACCTTGGCTCACTGCAACCTTCACCTCCTGGGTTCAAGCGAGTCTCCTGCCTCAGCCTCCTGAGTAGCTAGGGACTACAGGCACACACCACCACGCCCAGCTAATTTTTGTATTTTAGTAGAGATGGGGTTTTACCATGTTGGCCAGGCTGGTCTTGGTTTCCTGACCTCAGGTGATCCACCTGCCTCAGTCTCCCAAAGTGTTGGGGTTACAGGCATGAGCCACCACACCCAGCCTCTTTCTTCCAATTATATTAAGGATCAAACATACCTGCACTAACTAGCCCACAAATAAACTGCTTTACAGATAACTTCATTTTGCTGGCCATCATAAAGAGGCCAATGAAAATGATTTACAGGCAAAATCAAGCTGTAAAGATGCTATATCAGTGAGGTTTTGCTTAGTTCGGGTGGTTTTGCTTACTGCAACCTGTAATCCCAGCTACTGGGGGGCTGAGGCAGGAGAATTGCTTGAACCTGGGAGGCAGAGGTTGCAGTAAGGTAACACAGCCAGACTCCATCTTAAAAAAAAAAAGGAATGAAGGAATGCATGTCTATATTCTGAACACAATATGAATTTAACTAATAGAAGCAATAGTTTTCATGGTCTACATACTTCCTACGTCAGGAACTGGGCTATGCACATTGAAGCAGCAATGGCTGCGGACAGGCTTTGTAGCATCTTGGCTTAGGTGCTGTGGTACATGATCATTATTGCTTGTTAAATGTGAGTAAACTTTTGCAATGAAGATGCCTTTAAAATACATTTTTCCTAGGTAGGTTGAGACATGAGCACTTGGTTGCCACATAAAATGTCCTGGACATATCTTTAGAATCAGGGGGCAAACTGCTCTCACCCCACAACTCCCCTTCCTTCTTCCTTATGTAAACATTAATGTTTAAATAGAACCGTAACAACAAACCATATTTCCCTTTTTTTTGAGACAAGGTCTGGCTCTATGGCCTAGGCTAGAGTACAGTGGTGCAATCTCTGCTCACTACAACTTCGGCCTCTCCAGCTCAAGCCATCCTCCCCTCAGCCTCCCAAGTAGCTGAGGATACAGGTGCATGCCACCATGCCTGGATAATTTTTGTATTTTTGTAGATACAGGCTTTTGCGATGTTGCCCAGGCTGGTAGCAAACTCGTGAGCTAAAGCAATCCACCTCCCAAAATGATGGCATTACAGGCAAGAGCCATCATGCCTGGCCCATATTTACTTTTAAACACTCTAGTATGTAACTATGTCAATTAAATACATACTAGTCCAACTAATACAAGGAATTTTTTCCCCTCAAAGGTTTTTCATGCCAAACATGCCCAATGGAAATAAAAATGAGAAGGCTCTTTTGTTTTAAATATCTCCCTTCCCCTGGGAACCCATTCAAGGGTGGGGAGCATTTCAGGCTGAGAGGACTCGCCCCTCTCCTTCCCAGGACTGAAGAACCTTTTAAGACTTCCTCCTGCACTGGGAGCTCTCTCTGCACCCTTGTCATGTAGAGGCTTATTTATTTGCTTATTTACTTTCCCTTCCACATTCATAAGCTTATTGTCTGACCTAAGCAGTCATCTTACCTTTCAAGTACTTTGAAAAATGCAAACAATAAGTCAGAGAAGTGGTTGGTATGAGCAAGAAGTTTGTCATATACAGTACCAAGAATGTTTTTAAAATGAAAGAAAAAAAAACCCCGGTTTTCAATGTTTTGCCTCAAACCAGAATGGCATGGTCTCTAAGTAAGAATAGCTCATGCCCGTAATCCCAGTGCTTTCGGAGGCCAAGGTGGGTGGATCTCAGCTGAGGTCGAGAGTTCGAGACAATCTGCCCAACATGGAAAAACCCCATCTCTACTAAAAAAAAAAAAAAAAAAAAAAAAAATTGGCTGTGCATGGTGGTGCATGCCTGTAATCCCAGCTACTGGGGGGCTGAGGCAGGAGAATTGCTTGAACCTGGGAGGCAGAGGTTGCAGTAAGGTAACACAGCCAGACTCCATCTTAAAAAAAAAGGAATGAAGGAATGCATGTCTATATTCTGAACACAATATGAATTTAACTAATAGAAGCAATAGTTTTCATGGTCTACATACTTCCTACGTCAGGAACTGGGCTACGCACTTTCCTTTCCTTGCTTCCCACACTCGACTGTACATTGTTGGGAGTTTTCCATTTTTACTTTGCTTTTAATGGGATTCTCCACTAAAATACCTGCTTATCTTAGACTCGTGGACAGGTAACTTGGACGATACATAGAAAGCACATTCTCTTAAACATAGTAGGCACTCAATAAGTGTGTGCTGAAGAAATGAATGGAGGGAATTAATTAACTCCATTCTTGAACAAATTATCTGTGTTTCTGAATGTAGCCCTAAAACTCTGCCATTCATATTTCTCAGGAATGCCTCGTATAACTGATACCTTGGTTCCTGATCCATGCATTACTAAGGCGTTTTTACGTCGTTTCTATTTTTAGGGATCCTCTTTCTACAAGTAGAAATGACATAAACCAAGCTCATCTCTTTAGTTTATTTTTTTCTAGAGTCCTTAGCATGCTATATTAACCCGACAAAGCTTAATCTTGTGTTCGTTTCACAATACATTTCATGCAGTTCACAGCTGTGATTGGTTTTACATTGACATTACACATGTTTCGATTCAGCCATGTGAAAGGAGTAATTCTTAATGGAGTTTGTCTCTGAAAACTGTCCAAGCTTAAATAAGCACATGAGGCAGTTCACTCTATTCTTAAGTGCATCTCTCTTTAAAATGCAAGGATTTTTAGCATAAGAATATAATGTCCCTGTTTATAGTCCATTTGCAATCGAACCACTTCCTTTAGGTTTCACATATCCTGAGGAATCCACTTTTACAAAATTGCATTCAAGTATATTATTTAACATTCCAGGTTGGGTTTAGATGCAAGGCTGACCTTCAGCTTTACATCCCCAAATAAATCTTCCATGGACCCAGCCTTCCCAAGACTATTCTTAACATTAGACTCTCTTTTACAATAAACATTCAGCACTAAAGCCACAGAGCAGAGCTATTTGGCATTTTCCAGTGAAGTGCAAGAAGTTAAATAAGTTATGTTTTTATTGCTAATGTATAGAATCAAGCACAGTCACTTTGTCAAACAGAAGGAAAGGGTATACACAAGATGTGGCCTCTCCTCAGATGCCTCAGGGTCAAAATGCACAGAAAATATCACCTGGCCGCCACCCATCCAGCACCACTTTAAGAGGATGTGTTGAGTATTCTCGAGTCTGAGGAGTCAGACCTCTCGTCATAGTCGTCCTCGGTGTACATGGACTGCTTTGACACAATTGGACACCCATCATCAGGGATGGAAATCCGAGGGTCTTCGGTGGCGCGGGCAGGAAGGACGGGCGAGCTTCTGAAGACGCTGGTAGTGTTACTGGGGAAAGGACTGACATACTGGGACCTCAGCTGATACTGCTGCTGCAGCGTCATGGTGTTCCACAGGGTGACATCATTGGGCAAAAAGGGGCTCGACTGGTTTCTCGCCAAAGTATTCCTCAGCATCAGTGGGTACCGGGGTGGCTGGGGGAAAGGGTGCTGCAGAGGCACTGCCAAGGGATTGGGGACAACATTACTAGAGTCGGCAGAAAACCTCAAAGTGTCTGGGACTCGAAAGGCTGATCCCACAGACCATTTGGAAGACGAGATGGGGTAGGAACTCAAGGTGTGTTCAAAGATGTGCCCATTGGAGGGCAACACGAGACTCTCGGGTTCTGCAGAAGTTCGCTCTGCTCCCGTGACTGAGGATCGGCTGGACAGCAGGACTTCCACGGCGCTCACCAAGTCCCCGCCACAGCCCTTGAGGATGAGCTCAAGCACTGTTGGCTTCTGGTTGGGGAATATCTTTTTTAACACTTCAAGCGGTGGTCTGTTGGCTTTCAAGCTGAAGGGCAGAGAAACAGTCCCCGAGGGGCCCTCAATCAGGAGGTGGTTCTGCTCCGCGTGGTACTTGGGGCTGTCAGGGCGGCTCTCAGGGTTGCCTCCATTTTTCTGGACAGCGTACCCTGCTTCATCCACAGACACTACCTCAGGGCTCTCAGGGGTAAAGCAGCCCTTATTCTTTGTCACATCTGGGGAACTCCTCTGGTCAGTGTCTTTGTCACTGAAGACCTCTGTATTCTCTGCTGAGCTGCCATCTCCAAGTCGCTCTTCAGCCAAATCTGAAAAACAGAACAGCTGAGTTAATCTTTTCCTGGTGTGCATAAAGAGGAACAGATATGCTCAGAAGAGCCTGTACACGTGCTTTTTGGAAGAGCAAATGCATCCCAGTGGGTCATAATATACTACAAGACTTTTTAAAAAAATTCAAACTATGTCACTGGCAAATGAAAAAAAAAACCCTCTAAATAAAGAGCTAGAAATCAGAGTGACTTCTTAGAAAGCTTTGGGCAAGGAAGTTTGTCTTCAACATGGAATGGCTACATGAACCTATAACCACGGAAAATGTGGTTCTCACAGCAGTGACAATCTCAGTTGGGAGCGTCTGTGGGACTGCAGGAAACTCCTGGAAGAGCAAAGCTCAGGGAGAAACAGGAAAATGAGCTCAACTTGTCTTCCAGCTCTTCTTCTGCAAATAAGGTCCCCAGTTGTAATCTAGGGACAGCACCATCCAGATAACCACAGGGAATTTTAATATTTTAAATCTATTTCCCATAGGCTGATTTTGTGTTAAATACGTCTTATGAACCAATCTGTGTGTTTCATCAGGTTATCATGTACGATAGAGAGCTAATTCAATTGCTCAAGTGAAAGATAACGCTATCCATTGAAATCTTTCGTAAGAAGCCACTTGAGGGACTGGCAAACTTGGTTGCCAATAACTTGGGCTAGACAGCAAACAAAACCAGCTGTGAATTCTGGATGGCAGGATAAGTTGCTGGAGAGGAAAAAGGAAGTGGCTAGAAAGGGCTAGAAATTGGGCCGGGCGCGGTGGCTCAAGCCTGTAATCCCAGCACTTTGGGAGGCCGAGGCGGGTGGATCACGAGGTCAAGAGATCGAGACCATCCTGGTCAACATGGTGAAACCCCGTCTCTACTAAAAATACTAAAAATTAGCTGGGCATGGTGGCGTGTGCCTGTAATTCCAGCTACTCAGGAGGCTGAGACAGGAGAATTGCCTGAACCCAGGAGGCGGAGGTTGTGGTGAGCCGAGATCGCGCCATTGCACTCCAGCCTGGGCAGCAAGAGCGAAACTCTGTCTCAAAAAAAAAAAAAAAAAAAAAAAAAAAAAAAAAAAAAAAAAAAAAAAGGGCTAGAAATTGCACAGGAGCATTATCCATCAATGAAACAATGCATCATCACGATCCACAGACACAGCTGGCATGAGGCAGATACATGTCCCTGAACTGTTTTGTTGGTAAAGTTTGTGGAAAAGACTTGAAGATATCTTTTTTCTTAAGCCAGTGAAATTTGAAGATACCATTTTGTATTATATAAAAAGAAGAAGAAGGGAAAAAAGCTCCCAAATAAAGCAGACACTTGCTATAAAGTAAACCAGTTGCAAATTTAACATGTTGACCTAAGAATATTTTTACCTAATGTCTGGTAATATTGCAGGGCTAAGCACACAGAAAAAAGTAAGTCAGAATGCTTTGCTTTGCAGTAGTAAATTCTAACAAGCCTTTATAATAAAGAAACATATTTTGTAGAAGCAAGCTATATGCAAATGGAGTTTTATCCTTTTTTTTTTTTTTTTTTTGAGGCAGAGTCTTACTCTGTAACCAGGCTGGAGTGCAGTGATGTGATCTGGGCTCACTGAAACCTCTGCCTCCTGGGTTCAAGCAATTCTCCTGTCTCAGCCTCCTGAGTAGCTGGGACTATAGACACACACCACCACACCTAGCTAATTTTTGCATTTTTAGTAGAGATGGGGTTTCATCATGTTGGCCAGGATAGTCTCAATCTCTTGACCTCGTGATTTGCCCACCTCAGCCTCCCAAAGTGCTGGCATTACAGGCATGAGTCACTGTGCCCAGCCGAGATTTATCCTTTTTTGAAACATGCACTGGCTGTGGCTACTCAAAGCCAGGGTAACTGACTGAAAGATGAAAATTCCTTTTTTTTTTTTTTTCAGAAAGAGTTTCACTCTTGTTGCCCAGGCTGAAGTACAATGGCACGATCTAGGCTGACTGCAACTTCCGCCTCCCAGGTTCAAGCAATTCTCCTGCCTCAGCCTCCTGAGTAGCTGGGATTACAGCCATGCATCACCGCCCGGCTAGTTTTATACTTTTAGTAGAGACAGGGTTTCTCCATGTTGATCAGGCTGGTCTCAAACTCCCGACCTCCGGTGAGCTACCAGCCTCGGCCTCCCAAAGTGCTGGGATTACAGGCGTCCAGCCATTGTGCAAGCCCAAAAGATGAAAATTCTTAATGACTCAGTTGTTGGGTTGTAAACAATTGCTTTGCCTGTGTTTTCTGCTGCCCTACCTGAATGGCCTCATTGTTACCTTCTCTGTGAGCACACCTGATTATGTACAGATAGCCAGCTGGTGAAATTTTATCAACGCAGCTTCCAGAAGCCATCTTGTCCTACACTTGTTTATTTTAAAAGCCTTAAAGGCCCACTTATGAACATTCTTCTAATACAGGATGTATCTAAGTGTAACCAAAAAACAAAACTTTGGTCTTTCAAAAGGCAATAAATATGTGGCAAACATACTGTAAATAATTTTAAAGCACTCTTAAATTACCTCAGTGCAAGTGTCAACATAAATCTCATAGGAATTCATACTTTTCCCAAATTTGCATTTTAATTAAACTGCTTTTTTCTTTAACTGCTTCGTTTTTAATACAAAATGTAAGCTTTCTAATGATTCATTTGCAGCACATACATAAGAAGCCATCTTCACTTTATATAATGACTCTGTGACAAAGACTCTATTGTAGAATGACTATTTTTGTAAGAGAAATTTGACATATTCTCTCCTGCAATTTCTTAGGGTGGGAGACCCAGCTTTTATCTCTTGAGTATTTGAACTCATATAGCATTTGAACTCATGTCCTTGATCCAAAGGAGAAATATAGCAACAAAAAGGCTTCTACAGATTTACTTTATAATCAGCTAGATCTATTTAAATTTTCCTGACTCATGACCCCATACATACTTCTTGGCTGTTACTCTATTATTAAACATTTGAAAATTATTGAACAATTGAAAACACTTGATAATATATGTTAATATACTATCACTTTCGGAAATTGGAAAAACAAGTCAAATACTCTCCCCATATAAATATGGACATAAAGTACTTCTTTCAAGTACTTCTAAAGAGCTTTCTTCTTTTTTTAACTTTAGCCTACATTACTATGATCAGCACCAAGTATTTATATTTCTGCAAGATACTGGGAGAAATAGACTAAAGGATGAAAAACACCAACAAGTCTAAGACTCACACCTAAATCATGGACTTTATATTCTGGAGAAATAAGATGCACATGCAGGAGAAAAAACAAACGGGGCCTTGCAGCATTTGCTAAGCCTCAAATATGACACACATTGTATACCAATCTTCATAGCAGCAGCATACACAATAGCCAAAAGGAGAAAAAACCCAAATGTCCATCAATGCATGAATGTACAAAACATGGTACACACACACACAGTGGGATATTCAGCCTCAGAAGGGAATGGAATTCTGATACATGCTATAACATGGATGAACCCTGACTGCATTAGGATAAGTGAAATACGCCAGACACAAAAAGACAAATACTGTATGACTCCACTTATATTCGATACCAAGAATGGGCAAATTCAGAGGGAAAGTAGAAAGGTGGTGGCCAAGGACTGGGAGGAAAAGGGAATGGGGAGTTATTGTTTAATGGGTATAGAGTTTCGGTGTGGAATGATGAAAAGGTTCTGGAGATGGACGGTGGTGATGGCCACACAACATTTTGAATAAGCTTAATGCCACTGAATTATACACCTAAATACGGTTAAAATTGTAAACTTTATGTTACATGTACTTTACCACAATAAAAAAAGAAAAAATATGTCATACAGTGTCACAGTAACGAGGAGATAATGATGAGATTTTTTTTAAAGCAAGAAAAAGAAATGGTCCTTCTCGGGATAAAAGGTACATAAGCACAGCTGGAAAGCTTAAAGCTCAACTATTTTTAAAAGAATGTGTGAACCAAATAGCTTTGTGTTTTAAAAAGTACCCCTGCCCCCACTTTGGAAAAGTTTCAAACACTGAAAACATATTAGGAAATGGTTTTTTTTTTTGAGGTCTGTCAACCAAATTGACTCTTCCACAGTACACTTCAGGCTCCAGAAGAAAGTGGATCAAACAGCAGAAGGCTAACTTAAAGGAGAATTAGGGAATGAGGTTCCCACTAACGTAATAACTCTACCATTATAAAAATATAGTCTTTTTGGGGCCGGGCGCGGTGGCTCAAGCCTGTAATCCCAGCACTTTGGGAGGCCGAGGCGGGTGGATCACAAGGTCGAGAGATCGAGACCATCCTGGTCAACATGGTGAAACCCCGTCTCTACTAAAAATACTAAAAATTAGCTGGGCATGGTGGTGCGTGCCTGTAATCCCAGCTACTCAGGAGGCTGGGGCAGGAGAATTGCTTGAACCCAGGAGGCGGAGGTTGCGGTGAGCCGAGATCGCGCCATTGCACTCCAGCCTGGGTAACAAGAGCGAAACTCCGTCTCAAAAAAAAAAAAAAAAATATATATATATATATATATATATATATATATATATATATATATAGTCTTTTTTTTTTTTTTTCCAAGGTAGCAACAGATACACCATCCCAGTCAACTGAATACAGGATTCAGCAGGATTACAGGATTACAACTCTGACAATACAAAATTCTACTTTGTACCTATTTTCCCTTTGCCCTGCTACTGGGACATGCTAGTGCATCATGCACTTCTGGTTACTTGTCAAGGAGTGGCGACTGATAAGATTATGCTGAATCCTCCACACTTTCTCCGCAGGTTTCTGTGTTGATCACCCACTCCAACAGGGTATCTGGCTGTGCTCAAAATATGAGAAAAACTAAAAGGATGTCTCAGGAATCAAATCTACAAATTCAGGGTATATCAACCAGCTGGGCTTAGCACTGTTTATACTGTGTTCAACGGAAAGACAAAGATGATGAAAGAAGCAACAAGGAGAGAATTGTGAGGTTCATGCACCAGAGC